ACATCAGCTTTCTTCAACGGCTTTATTTTCCTCAGCTTATTTAATCGCTCATTCTCTTTCATTTCAACACACCTCTTGCACTCCAATATATTCTTTGAGCCATATTCATCCTTTGCTTCATCTTCCTCATCAAAATATTATTTTTGAGAGTTAGAAATATTTTCTTTGAGTGCTAAAGAAGTTGTCATCCATAGAGCTTAAATCTTTCAAACACTACTTGCTCAATTGTGTGAGCTTTCATTCTTGTGTTGTGAACTCAATCTCTTTTGAGTGTTGTTCTTAAGACTTGTGTGACTTTCGAGAGAGTCTCTCGGAAGACTGGATTAGCCACGAGGTGGTGAACCAGTATAAATCTCGGTGTTCTTCTTTCCCTTACTCTCTTTATTTTATTCCTGTGATTCTATTATTTCACACACGCGAAAAACGCACATTCTTGAAAACAACTCTATTCACCCCCCCCCCTCTAGAGTTGCACGTTTGTCTAACAATAAAAATCAATTTACAAATTTTTTAAGAAATTGTTTACTTAATTCTCCTTCATTTTTTATACACTGAGGACAGTGTAAATTTTAGGTGTGGGGGAGTGGGTAGATCAAAACTGATTATTTGTGTGCATTTAAAAAAAAGAAAAAAAATTTCTTTTCATTTTTTTTGTGTGTTTGTGTTGAATGATGAACAGTCTTGATCCAAAAAGTAAAATTAAACATACAAATTCTTTGTTTATATGTCTTGTTAGTATTTATATACATAACCTTGTACATTACAAAATCATCTTTTTTGACGGAATGTGGTATGAGTTTGAGAATTGTTTCATTATAACATTTTGAGAGTAACTGTATCTCAGCCTTGGGTAATTTCTGTTAATAATTTAACATAGAATACCATAGCGTTTTTCCAATTTATTGGTTTACTAGCTAAACTTAGTTATAACTTTTATAGACCATGATGTTTCACATTTGTTCTCCATGAAATGATGTTTTAATTTGACACATTTAGACATGATATATGCCATCTTTGTTTAACCTCTCAAACCAAGCCTATCCAATTCAAAAACAAAAAAAAATCCCTAGTTGTCCCCTTTTGAGCCTTTTTCTGTAAATAAGTGTTATCACTTATCCCTTGTTTGTCATTTTTTTCTTTTTACCCTGTAAATATTTAACCCTAAACCAATTAACCAAAATAAATTATCCTTCCACCCTAGAGTAGATTGTCTTATTATTTGAGAAGGAACTTAAAAAAAGTTAATAATTGGAGCATTGTGTATTTTTGTAAATAATTGAGTGTGTCATATTCTTTCTTTTGTATTAAAGTTGTACATTCTTTTTTTATAAAGATAATAATAACTTAGTGTGCCTTAAAAAAACAATAAAAAAAAAAGTTTAAAAAAAAGTTCAAAAAAAAGCAAAAATAAAAAAAAGTTAAAAAAAAAGAAGCACACTAATCTTGAACTCTTTAGATTTTTAGACTTTATTCTTGGGCATTAACAAAAAAACCTAAAAATTGCCCACAATATTAACTTTAATCCTGTAGTTTTTGTAAAATAATTATCATTTCTCATTTTCGAGTCATTTGTTTACCTTGCTCCATAGTTACATTTATAGTAATATTTGAGATCCTGATCAAAATAAGAATAATCTATCTCTTTTTGTTTATCCTTTATAACATTTCTTTGTTTACCCAGTTACCCTTAGCCCCTTTACAAGCCGAATAAAAATCCTAATTGATCTTTTTGTGTCACTTTCAAAAATAATTGGATTAAAGAAACTTGGTTTGTATTAGTTTAACTTGTTTACCACTATAGGTGTTTGTGTTAGATTATTAAGATGAAAGTTTCTAGGATAGGCAATATTACTCAAGTTACTCTCATTTTATTATTTTGTTACAATTCATGGGTCTTGGATAGTTTGGTGGACAAAAGAAATGATTGTGTAATTTTTAACATTATGTATGTAAATTCTAACAGGACATGTAAAGATTGTATTTGTAGTTTATTTTGCTTGAGGACAAGCAAAAGCCTAAGTGTGGGGGAGTTGATATGCACATATTTTATACTCTTTTTAGGCATATTTTGAAGGAGTTTTGAGTCTCAATTGAATTAATGTTTATATTTTATGTCAATTTTCCGTTTTATTTTGGTAAAGCGGTCCTATGCTTGGTTTTATATGTTTTGCAGGTATTTTGAGGTCATTTGGACGCATTGAGAATAATTGCAAGAACGGAAAATAAACATAGAAGTTTGGGACCAAAATAAATGGAAGGACCAAAATAAATGGAAGAGATTTGAAGAAAAAAAAGAAAGAAATTTAAAAATGAAGAAATGGAGCTGGGCTTTGAAGAATGGACTTGAGGGTGTTGGAACTATAGCTTTGACCATTGAGCCACAACTGATTATTCAGCATATTACTAGCGGACATGTATAATGTTCTGTAATTAAATTCGGCCATGAATTGAGAGAGAGAAAAGACAAAACATCGACACTGGATTGGGTATCAAACATAGGATCAAGTGGCGAGACAAACATCCTCATTTCCAAGTGGGCTACTCTACATTTGTTGACATTTTAGGGACTGTTTGTATATACTCCGTAGGTACGAATTTATCTATAAAAAACCCCTTCTCTTCTTTTAAAGAGGTTGGAACCCCCCATTTCTCTTCTCTCCAATTCGAAACTCTCTTTCTCCCTCACTAATATCTCACCACTTTCTTCCTCCAAACACATAAAAATTACTCCATCTTCATCATCATCAACACCATTTATTACATTTGGAGCTCAAGAACATATCTTCCATTTTTGTAAGATTTTTATTATTGTAATAAATATTTATTTGTTTAAGCTTCAAACTATGAACTTCTAAATTCCATTGGGGTTAGAAGTTGGTGTAATTAATTATCCATCTTAATGTTTTAAATATTTTTATCATGGATTGTTGATTTTATTTTTACTTAGATGTTGTATTTAAAAATAAATAAATTTGGAATGTTTGTGATTTTTAATTAAGGGCCCAATCATAAACATAATTGTTAAAAGGAATTTGAGCTAAAATTGAAATAATCATAAAATAGAACATTTTTTAATTACACCGTAAACCTTCTCTACCTTTAACCGAGATTGAAAACTTTCGGGTGGACATAATTATTGAGTTGTATTTTTACACCATTAAATTGGGTAAACATACAATAAAATAATTATGGTTGCCGTTGTTACTAAATAATTACTCCGGATATATCATTAGCGTGTTAAAGTCGGAGTGGTTAATATTTAGGTGAACTGCGAGAGCGCACCTAAATACTTTTCTGCAACCCCACACATTCTATATAAAAATAAATTGACAATCCAACTTTTATAAAAACATTGGACAATTAATGTACCAATTTCTACCCCTAACTTTTCATCATCAAAAACTTTTTGTTGTTTGGAACTCTCTCCTTTTACACTTTTTATTTTATCTCTAAAACCAAAAAGAACAAAAATATTTTAAAACTTCTTTTGTAAATTTTTGTTTAAATTAAATTAACTCACGTCTCCCTGAGGTTCGACACCCTACTTACAAGGGTTCTTTTTAGTTGTTATTTTTGCCCGTTCTATACTGCAAATCATCCATCTACACAGTGTTCTGTTTTTCTCTATTTTTTGAAATACCATTTTATATTTTATTTATATCTTACTTCTTTCTTCCAAGGATTATGACAATGGACAAGTTTTGCTAGAAAGCAGTACAAAGACAAAGTTGGAGACTTACTTACATGATCCTAAAGAGCCACACATGACACATCATAGATTTGGATATATTGGACTTTGGGAAGAGGAATGAGTCTCAATATGGACAACTATCTTACTTAGCAAGGGATATTCTCAGTGTGCCATTAACAACTGTTGCATTAGAGTCAACTTTTAGCATTGGAGGTAGGGTTTTGAACAAATGGAAAAGTTCTTATTTGCCTGAAAATGTGGAGGCCTTGATTACTGCTCGTACTTAGGTGTATGGATACGAAGGTATGTTTAAATCTGGTACCATTTTTTCAAAGTCCTAATGTTTACTTGGCTCATAAAATAAAACAATAATATGTATTGATGTGTAGAAAATACAGAAGATGAATTTTCTAGCGTTGATGTGCATTGGAATGCAAATACTTCCAACGGAACTATAGAGGTATCATTTGATGAGTGGAATTTTTTGTTTGTTGGATGCAACTTTCCGTTCTACAAATATTTATGTGGATTCTGAATTCCGGTGGCCTGAAGAAATGATTGCATGTGATCCAATGTTAGAACTTGATTTTTTTATTATTCTCTTCTCATCAACTACATTTAATTTGTTTCTTTAACACTTTTTGATGGACAATAAATCCACCAAAGGATCCGACTAGAAGAACGGATCGTAAGAGAAGGATTGATAACAAGAATTCGAGAATTAGGTGTGTATTATTAGCTTGAGTTTCCCCTTTCGGGCTTCTTCTATTTATATCTCGGTTCTAGACAGTTAAGGTAATACATAATCAGTGGGCGTCTATGCCGCCAATGGCGCGATCCACATTTCCCGGCTTCGTCTCCGCCATTTAGCTTCGTCTTCTGCTCTAGACTGGCTCTGCTGGCCGTTTTGGATTGGAGTTGACCGGGCCACGCATTATGGGCCGGCCCATGCCTAAGTAGTTCCTGTGCGCCTGACCCGGAGTCTATTAAATGATTCAATTGGGCCGCCCGCTGGATATCGGCCCATCACAAGCCCCCCAACTCCTCATTCCTCGACTAGGCCACGTTGAGGGATGGGGAGTTTACGAGGTATTTCGATGCTACCTGTTTATTTACAAGTCCCATCTTTCCTTCAAGTTATCTTTTTCCTGCACCTTGTTTCAAGCGTTCAGGTATCCTCAATCTTCGGTTTAGAGAACACCTTGTTGCTTCTTTTGGCTTGGCCATTCTTGGGGCCTCTTCGCCCCCATGGCATAGCCCTATTTTCCCCAAGTCCTCTGGTCGCTCATGCGACCATCAGATCTTAAGTTCTGGACTTAGCCGTTTCTTAGGCTTTCTCGCCACGGCGTCTCCCTTCCGTTAGTTGTGTTGTCCCATAGTCGTCCTAGCGACTGTAGATCAAACACTCTCTGATAGCCCTTGGACTTGGTCGCTAACAGGGTTCGGCACTTCATCCCCTGATGGGTGTCTTAGTGCGAATCACCATGTAGCTAACTAATTAGCGATCTCTTTGGTCGCTCATTTTTTTGGTGAAGTTCAAGAAGAGAAGTGCCCAAAGTGCTGACTTTATTAAACTCAAAGGATAAACACAGTAGGAGTACAATCTACTGATAAAATTTAATGAGATTGGCAGCATTCCATACCCGCGGGACGTCGCCTCCCGCTGGTGTTTGTAGTCTAAATGTTCCATCGGCCAACATTTCCTTTATGATGTATGGCCATTCGAAACTCTTGGCAAACTTCCCTCCGTCGATCGGACGACTGACCTCCCTTTCTCTTAGGACCCAGTCGCCTATTCCGAACTGTCTTGGTCGCACCCTTTGGTCATGGTACGACTTAACTTGCCGACGGTAGTTCTCTGCCCGTATATACGCCCTTTCTCTCCGCTCATCAATGAGGTGTAACTCCGCCCTTAGGTTTTCTTCGTTTTCCTGGGCGTCAAATGTTTGAACTCTATAACTTGACAACGAGGTCTCAGCCGGAGCCCTCGCCTCAAACCCATAAGTGAGCGTGAACGGAGTTTCACCTGTAGCCTTCCTTGGAGTAGTCCTATAGGTCCATAGGATATAGGGCAATTCTTCCACCCAGGCGCTTTTACACTCCATTATTTTCTTCTTCAGGCCATCCACAATGGTGTGATTAGTATTCTCAACCTGCCCATTGGTCTGTGGGTACCCAACCGCAGCGTAACTATGTTTTATGCCCCAGCTCTGTAGAAACTCATTGAACCCCTTAGCCTCGAACTGGGTTCCATTGTCAGTAATGATCTGCTGGGGCACCCCAAAACGGCACAAAATTTGTTTGGACACAAACTTCCTCCTCTGCTCTTCGGTGATTGTCGGCACGGGGGCAGCCTCGACCCATTTGGTGAAGTAGTCGATCGCGACCACCAGGTACGTGTTGTTTCCTGCTCCTCTGGGCAAGATGCCGACTAAATCAATGCCCCACCGAGCAAAGGGAATTGTGGTGCTGATTGGGGTGTAATTTGTTGCCGGTCGCCCTGGCACCTTCTGAAACTCCTAGCAGACCTTGCACTTAAGCGCGTATGCTGCGCAATCCCTGATGATTGTTGACCAAAAATACCCCTGCAGGGTTATCTTCCTGGACATTTTAAAGGGTCCCTGATGGGCCGAACATATTCCTTCATGGATTTCTTCCATTAACTTCTGCGCTTCGTCTTTCCTTAGACACCTCAGCAATGTACCATTGTACGATCGCTTGTATAAATGACCGCACTCTAGCATGTAGCTAGGTGCTCATCGTTTAACAACTTTTGCAGCGACTGGATCGGTAGGTAGTGACCCATCAAGGATGTACATGGTTATCTCGTCGATCCAATCCGGCTCTTTGAGTGTAACGACCAGAACCTGTCCGGGACTGATGCTTGGCTCGAGCAACTCTTCTTCCTGGGTCATCGCCCTGATATGATCTGGGGAGTCCGGACCAAGTTTTGACAAGATGTCTGCCTTGGCATTTTCTTCTCGAGGGACCTGCTCTATCCGGTATGCACCGAACGCCTTAAGTAATTCTAGAGCAGTGTCTCTGTACATCTTCATTTGCTCATCCTTGGCCTCAAACTCTCCCGTGACATGTCCCGCTATCAGCGTGGAATCGCACCGGACCTGGATCCGTTCAGCCTTTAACGATGCTACCAGCCTCAAACCGCAGAGCAGTGCCTCATACTCAACCTCGTTGTTTGAGACCTTGAACCGGAACCTTACAGAGTAGTATCCTTTGAACCCCTCCGGTGATATTGCCACGACGCCTCACCTAGAAGCATCAGTCGCGGACGAGCCATCGGTGTATATAGTCCACCAGTTTCCTTCAGGCTCTTCTCCGTTGGATTCCACTTCCCTTGCAGTGCATTCTACCACAAAATCCGCCAAGGACTGCCCCTTGATCGTTGGTCGTGGCTTAAACTCTATCTGGAAAGATCCCAGGAACACTCCCCATTTGCTAACCCGCGACGGAGCATTCGGACTTCGGAGGAGGGTTCCAATCAGAATATGGGATAACACGTGGACCGGGTGGGCCTGAAAGTAGGGGGTTAGTTTCTTCACTGTACAAACCACTACAAAGATGGTCTTTTCCATATTCGTATATCTAAGCTCCGCTCCTCGCAACACCCGAGCCACATAATACACGGGACGCTGTGTACCTTCCTCTTCCCTCACAAGTACTGAGCTCACTGCCCGAGGAGAAATTCCTAAGTATAGGAACAAGATCTCTCCAGGCTCCGGCTTTGAAAGCACCAGTGGAGAGAGGAGGTACGCCTTCAACCCTTCAAAGTACCGCTGACATTCTTCGGTCCAAACAAAACCTTTGCTTTTCTTAATGGTCTGGAAGAAGGGTGCCGCTCGATCAGCTATCTTCGACAAGAAGCGACTAAGAGCAGCGATCCTCCCTGTGAGCTGTTGGACCTCCTTCACGTTCCGCGGAGGCTCCATCTCTAAAATTGCCTTCACCTTTTCTGGATTGGGCTTGATCCCCCTTCGACTGACCATATGCCCAAGAAACTTGCCCCCTGAACCCCAAATGAGCACTTCTTGGGATTTAGGCGAAGCTGGAACTTCTTCATGATTTTGAAAACTTTCTACAAGTCCTGGGTATGAGACTCCATTTGCTTTGACTTAACGATCATGTCGTCCACATATGCTTCCATGCATCCCCCTAGCACTGGTGCGAACAGCTTGTTGACCATTCGTGCGTAGGTCGCACCAGCATTCTTCAAACCAAAGGGCATCACCTTGTAGTAGTATACCCCATTGGGGGTTATGAAAGCGGTCTTCTCTTCATCCGCTGCAGCCATCTTGATCTGATGGTACCCACTGAATGCATCCATAAAACTCATCAATTCACACCCTGCCGTCTCATCCACCAACTGATCACTGTTGGGGAGAGGAAAAGGCTCCATCGGGCAAGCTTTGTTCAGGTCGGTGTAATCGATGCACATCCGCCAGGTGTTCCCTTTGGGTGCGAGGACTACATTTGCCAACCATTCCGGGTAACGGACCATACAGATGTGCCCAATGGACTGCAGGGTTGCCACTTGCTTAGTGACAAACTCTCTCCTTTCTAAAGAATGGAAACGTTTCTTCTATTTGACCGGCTTGTGGGTCGGATCCACTGCCAACCGGTGGCAAATGATCCGTGGATTGACCCCAGGCATATCCTCAGGCCCCCAGGCAAACAATACTCCGAAAGAGCGAAGGACGCCCATTAGCTGCTCCTTCAATCTACCTGGTAGGGCCTTACCTATCTTCACTTTTTGCTCTGGCTCAGCCAGGTCCAAAGCGATTTCTTCTACCTCCTCCGCCGGCTCTGCTCTGGGTCGCCCGTCTTCTTTCTGTATAGCAGCACAGATTGTGCTGACATTCTCATTAATCCTCGCCTGGCTCTTGGTCGCTCTAACATAGCATGACCGGGACAAACTCTGATTCTATCGAGCCACTCCCACCCTGGTGGGGGTGTTGAACTTCATGCACAGGTGGACGGGGGAGATCACGCACTCCAAGTCCTCCAGACCTGGTCGCTCTAGGATCTAATGGTGTGCACAGTCAAGTTGCACTACCATAAATTCCATGTCGAGCCAGAGTCGGTGGGTTCCATCTCCTACCCCAGCCTTCACCTTGATGGTCCCCTCTGCTTCAATAGTGTCTCCCGTAAACCCTGACAGCGGTGTACGGATCGGCTTCAAGTCGCTCCGGGACAACCCTAGCTCCTTAATGGTGTTGCTGTACATGATGTTGACCGAACTGCTAGTATCGACCAACGTGCGATGAACAACCACGTTATTGATTTCCACCTTTATTACCAGCGCATCCCTGTGGGGGTTGAGAACTGGTGGGTAATCCTCATCTGTGAAAATCAGAGGTTCCTTCTTTTTCTGCTTGGGTAGTGGTGGCCTCTGCACCTCGGCCAAATGCACCATATTCTTCCACTTCTTCCGTGAGGGCGTCGAGTCCCCTCCGGTGTTGCCACCCATAATGAACCGACACCCCAGGTGTCGGCGGTTCTGCCTTTCTTCCTCATCCAGGTCGTCGCAGTCTCTCCCCAGATGCCGCCGTCCATCTTCCTGCCCATCCCCTGCTATGATCGCTGCGGCGGGGGCCGCTGGCCTCCTCCAGGTCCGGTTACCCGACGCTGGTCGCTCCGGCCGAGGAGGCGGCCCTCTGGCGATCAGCTGGTCCATCTCCCTTTTCAACGTAACGCACTTCGACATGTTGTGGGTGTTGTTACGGTGGTACTCGCAGTATTTGGGTGCGTCCTGGATGCCATAGCTTTCCCGACTACGGAGAGGGGCTGGTAAGGACTGTTTCGCGTGGACAAGATGTCTGTTTGCTTGATATCCGGTAGGGTTCGGCCCCCTACCGTAGTCTTTCCTCTTCTTTCCTTCTGCCACCGGCGGACCACCTTTCTTCTCCTTCCGGACAAGTGGCTCATCATCTTCCTCCTCTAACGCCAAGTATTTCGCTCTGGCCAGCATCTCCTGATAGGTCAAGAGCGGATTTCGTCGCAGCTCCTTGCGCACATCCCCTTGGGGGAGTGCCACTTGTAGCCTGGCGATCAGAGCCTGGTCGTCCACCCCATGGAAGTCCCTAGCCTCCTTCTCCCACCTATTGATAAATTCCCGAAGTTGCTCCCCCTTTTGGATTTTCTCATTAAGTAGATGCGAGAATGGGAGCTTTTGCCTCTGGCTGGACGCGAAGTGCTCTAAGAACTTGTGGGCCAGGTCGCTCCACTTGTCTATCGATCCTTTGGGAAACTTATGGAACCACTCACAAGCTTGCCCCTCCAGCGTCGCCATTAATTACCGGCACTTAATCTCTTTGGGGTATGCATACATAACCACGTTCGCCCCAAAGCGAGCAAGGTAATCTTGGGGATCGGTTGTCCCGTTGTACGCTTTGACCTGTGGGGTCTTAAAGTTGTCCGGGAGAGGACAAGACATTATCCTTCTAGAGAAGGGAGTTATCTCGCTGAAAACTGCCTAGCGGTATGGATTTTGGCATCCAACCGCTTCTCTAAATGTTCGTACATCCTCCACAACTCAATCGCTTCCTTGTCTTCGATCGCCATTCGTCACTCTTCTGAGCCAACCTTGGACGTTGCTGAGCACTCTCCTCTCTTCTCCTTGAGCTTCTCCCTCAGGTCGCCTTTGCGGGTCGACCGAGTATCATGTAATCGATCGAACGCCGAGGTCCGGGGTTTCTTTGACGCGGGATCTCCCAACCGATCGAAGGCCGACGCCCGCTCGAAAGAGGATGACTCATCTTCCTCGTCCAATCTGGACAGCTCGTCCTCCATCCTCGCCTTCCCGTGGGGCTTGGTTGCCTTCCCCTTCTAGGACCGCGTTACCTTCTTCTTTTTCCCCCCTGAACCCGCAGGTCCAGCCTTCCCTCCTGTGGGTTCTCCGGTTGTGTCCTCCACCACAACCTCGTGGTTTGGGGTCAAGGCTGCCATCACCTCCTTGAACTGCTCCGCTGTGATCCCGACTCTCTGGATGAGGGCCTCCGTCTCCGTTAGGCTAATCGGAGGGTGCTGGCCACTAGTGGCGCTATTTCCCCCCTGGTGGGGGTTTCCGGTAACGAGATTTGCGTTGCTACGGGTTTGCACCATGGTCTTCTTGGAAGGTTTTCTCTGAGTATGATTCTCGAACTCTCAATGAAAGCACTAATTTGATGGACAATAAATCCACCAAATGATCCGATTAGAAGAACGGATCGTAAGAGAAGGATTGATAACAAGAATTCGAGAATTAGGTGTGTATTATTAGCTTGATTTAGCTTGAGTTTCCCCTTTCGGGGTTCTTCTATTTATATCTCGGTTCTAGACAGTTAAGGTAATACATAATCAGTGGGCGTCTATGCCGCCAATGGCGCGATCCACATTTCCCGGCTTCATCTCCACCATTCAGCTCCGTCTTCTGCTCTAGACTGGCTCTGCTGGCCGTTTTGGATTGGAGTTGACCGGGCCACGCATTATGGGCCGGCCCATGCCTAAGTCGTTCCTGTGCGCCTGACCCGGAGTCTATTAAATGATTCAATTTGGCCGCCCGCTCGATATCGGTGCATCACTTTTCAAGATATTTAATGAATTCTGGCAGTGCTCTTTGGACAACTACTGAAGATTGTATTGAGTATTCTACCATTAGATGGACTTGTGTATTTTATTTTAATATTTGGATAACAATTTGGTTCTAAATTGTCACTAGAATGTTGTATTTTGTTTGTTGGATAGTGTGTCCACAAAAATCAAGATTTGTGTTTTAAAAAAGCTCTTTAGGATGGTTCAATATTTTTTTACTCATTCATAATTTTTGGAGAAGAAATCTTTTATTTAGCTTATACTAAGTAATGTCGGTGATGGCTATAAACCACCGAGTATATCAAATAATATGAATTTTAGAGAGAGAGAAGGCAAAGTAGGAGTTTATTCACTTAGAATTCGGATTTTTTACAATGAGGGGTCTCACCCCTTTTATAGGGGATACAATACACTTGGTCAACCCTCTGATCGAGGTTCGTCGCTTAGCGGATGTCATCACCTTCTCCGTCTTGTCCCTTTCATCCCATCGCTATCGCTAAGTCTCTATCGCATGTCGCTATCTTCACGTCGTTGTCATGCAGCCCGGGCTCGGCTTAGCAGGCCGAGCCCGAGCTGGGTGGCCGAGCAGAGCACGCGTGCTAGGCGGGTATGATCGAGCCGAGCTCGTGCGCCGGGCGGGTATGACCGAGCCGAACCTGGCGCTCTTCCTAACGACGAAGGCCCCAACTAAGGTAAGCCCTAGGCTGACATGTGGTTATCCTCCGTCAGAAGCCCCCTACTCTCTAGGTTCCTTGGCAACTGGCAATGGAACGCGCGAGAGTAGAAACACTGTGGATAAGTGGCACGTGGGCCCGCGTGTTGATTAGTGGACAAGTGGTGACGTTTCGCCTTCCCAAGCCAAGTGGCGGCTCATCATCCAAGCCATCAACCCAATGAAGACCCAGGCTCGCCTAGCATTGGCGAGTCAACCAGCCATTCCTTCGTCGGAGGAGCTGCTTCACCTTTTTCCTACCCTCCGTCGTGCCCATGCAGCCGCTAGTGGAATTGCGGCAAGCGACACTGAGATTTTGCGTTTCTATGTTTTAACTATTGTAAGGCGTGTGCGCCATGTATTTCCCCTTTTTCGGGTTGAATAAAGTATGACTATTTTCTTAACTTTCGCTCTTGCGCTCCAAATGCTACTTTCGTGTAAACTTACCCCTTGCGTTCGGACATCCGGGTGTGTGCTTGACCCAAGAGCCGAGCGCGAGTGGCGACCTTCATCCAGGAAGAACATCCGGGTACGGCATACGCTCGTCCATTCTCTTGAGGAGGACAGAGCCGAGCGCGAGTGTTGACCTTCATCCGGGTATGGCCTACGCTCGTCCACCCTCTTATGTAGGACAGAGCCGAGCGCGAGTGTTGACCTTCATCTGGGAAGAACATCCGGGAATGGCTTATGCTCGTTCATCCTCTCGCGTAGGACAGAGCCGAGCGCGAGTGTTGACTTTCATCCGAGAAGAACATCCGGGTATGGCCTACGCTTGCCCACCCTCTTGTGGAGGACTGAGCCGAGCGCGAGTGTTGACCTTCATCCGCGAATAACATGAAGGTATGGCCTACGCTCGTCCACCCTCTTGCTGTTGGGAAACGAGGCTTGGATAACGCAGCGGAAAACAAAAAATTTATAGTCCAAAACTCGATTCCACCCAAGAACAACTTACGTAAATTACTAGCTATAGTAAGAAATTTACCTTAACGGTGAAAACGGAGAACGGAGGAACGGTCGGGGATGGTTTTCTCCTCTACTTGCATCGCGGTTTGCATACTTCGGAGGTTGCATAGGTGTGCTTGAACGAGGCCTCAGGTTCTAATTTCTTGTGCTAGCAAGTTTAATATAGGATAGTAAAAACTATAATAATACTACTTTGGGAGTAATAAATATATAGTAAAATATTTATCTTATAAATATTTGTTTATAATATTTTGTGTATATTTCAAACACTTTAGAAAAATAACTTTGAACACAAAATAAAATTTTCTTCTCTAAAATTGGGATGGCCAAAAATTTGAGGTGTGTATATTAAAAATCAAGACTTCATTTTATAATAAAGCAACTTAAATGAATTTCTAGGAAATAGCTTAGGGACAAAACAAATTAGGATTAATGTAATGTCCCCAACCAACACAACAAGACAAATATCCTTTTGTTAATCAAATATTTGATTATATCAATCAAATATATCATTAGGTAGAAAATCAATTTATGTCTTGTATTTTTCCCTTTGATATTTTCAGCCATAGCATGTTAAAATACATTACATTTTATTTTTACATCAATAATTATCATATAATTAAAATGATGAAAATAAAAGTAATATATATAAATATATATATATATATATATATATATATATATATATATATATATAAAAGGAAACTTTATTAAACAAGAGGAAATAAGGAGGGATTACAATCTAGTGTTCTGGAAACTACAAATGCCCACTTGAAAAATAGATGACTTATACAAAAAACTGGTATCTAATTTATTTTCCCAAAACCAAGCTTGAGTGAGTTTGTTTATGGATGTCAACAGCCCGTTGATGGATGGTTTATGTCCTTGGTAGAGAAAGGAGTTGTAGAGTTTCCAAACGGACCAACATAAAAGACCAAGCAGGATAAATCTCAAGTTCCCTTTGATGCTGACCTTGTTTGACGAAAACCACCAGCTGAGAATGATTTGCTGAGCAGTTAAATCTCCTCCTGCCGAAGGTGCATTGACAACTAGAGAGTAAGTTTGCCAAATATGGGATACCATTGAGCAGCCTACGAAGATATGCTGTTCATCAACGTCCAGTTCATCACAGAAAGGACAAGGTGTGTTTATCATGATTCCCATTTTTTGAAGGTTGTGGGAAAGGTAGCAACTTGTTTAAAAACCGCCAAAGGAAGATGCTGATTTTTCCCATTTGCCTCTTGTCCCAGATACAAACAGAAGTGAACATTTTTGGCTTGTGTTCAAACGTGAGAGAGTAGGCAGTTTTGAAGCTGTATGTCCCTGATAGCCATGCCACATCTTCACCATGAAAACTGCAGTGTGGAAGGACCAAAGGGGAGATCTTGCAAATAGCCTTCCACGTGTATGAGTCATAGATCTTAGGGGAGAAGAGTCCATCTCTGAAATATTTAGACTTCATAAATTTCCCCCAGATAGAATTCCCAGTAACCACCTTCCACCACAGATCTATGTAAGCTGCATCCTGGCTATTGAGGAGGTTTCTAAGTCCCAAGCCTCCTTCCTCGAATGGAAAACAGAGTTTTTCCCATTTTCTCCAGTGATACTTAGGACCTTCTTCGTTTATTCCCCAGAAGTAGTTTGCCATAAGTCTATTCAAATTTTTGAGAATTGATTTTGGAATTCTTTGCGCAGCCATAAGATGTAAAGGAATTGAGGATAGCACGTGTTTGATGAGAATGAGCCTCCCCATCTGATTGAGCTTCTTGCTGTACCAAGCATTTATTTTTTTTCTCAAATTTTTCAAGCAATGTCTTACAGTGAACCTTCCTCAGTTTACCCTTGACAATATTAGAACCAAGGTAGGTAAATTCCTTTGTGTGACACCTGATGGATAGGATTTTTCTGATCTGGTTTTGCTGCTCAGCCTTCATTCTTTCATGGACTATAACTTGGCTTTTGGAGTAATTTATTTCCTGTCCTGATGCCTTCATGAAAAGGGAGAGAAGTTCCCTAAGTCTCTCTCTCTCTCTCTCTCTCTCTCTCTCTATATATATATATATATATATATATATATATATATATATATATATATATATATATATATATATATATATATATATATATATATATATATATATATATATATATATATATATATATATATATATATATATATATATATATATATATATATATCGGCGCTACATATATATATATAATAAAATTTGTTTTGTCAAAATATAATTATCATATAATTAAAATGACACAAACAAAATATAATTTTAAAATACATATGTATTTTCGAAATACATACATACATATATATATATATATATATATATATATATAGAT